CATTGCCTGTCACAGTTTAAAACATTTTCCAGTAAAGATAAAAAAGTAAAGTGCTGGGCGCCTGGGTGGCTCAGTTGGTTAAGCGACTGCCTTCGGCTCAGGTCATGATCCTGGAGTCCCTGGATCGAGTCCCGCATCGGGCTCCCTGCTCGGCAGGGAGTCTGCTTCTCCCTCTGACCCTCCCCCCTCTCATGTGCTCTCTCATTCTCTCTCAAATAAATAAAATCTTAAAAAAAAAAAAAAGTAAAGTGCTTTGAGGCAAAATTGAGAATATCCTATATGTGGGTAGTAAATAAGCTTTAGAAGTACACTTTTCCTACTTCTCTATGTGCATCTGATTGGGTCAGATCTGTATTTTGACCATTCCCAATGGGGGAGGCCACCTGGTGAGCTGATCGTCTCTCTGTGGCATGAACTGCAGTTTCCACGGAAGGTCTACACAAGGTCATCAGTCCTCGTAACAACTTCACCACCTCTGAGATAGCCCCACACGTGTTATCACGGGTCATTCTCATAACTCAGTATGGTGGGTGAGGACTTCATTCATCCATTCCTTCATTCATTCATTCCTTGTACCTTATATGTTAATTGTGTTCCTACTAATTATGTCCTACCCCCTTGACACATACAAAGCTCTCGTTCTGGCCTGAAGACACTCAGTTTTATACACAGAGTGAATGAGAAAACAAGATGAGTGCAAACACTCTCCAAATTGAGTGTACATAACCCAATCAGAATTAGTGTTCTCATAGGAAAATAAAATATTTTAAAGGCAGAGGTCACCAGCTGTGAGACATGGTCATAACCACTTATTTTTTCTTCCTTGGACATATCCTTTATTCCTTCCATTTTAAAATCCTATAATTAATTAGTCTAATACAGGGTCTCATGAAAAAAGTATAGTTGATAGAGTTTAATCATCTTTCTCAGGTCATGAGCATGTTTTTCATGGCAAAGGAAGAAGAGATTTCCTGAAATGGAACTTTTGACCAAAAAAATTTTTTTTACAAAAGGAAGAGAACTCAGCAATTGTCTTTGAGCATTAAGCATTATCACAAACAGACTGGTACCGTGCTGAGTCTCATCTTGATGGTGCAAAACTCAAGAACACACGGGCTCTTTCCAGCACAGGGTACGGGCACACTGTTCCCAGCTCAGTAAGCACGTGCATGTGACTGAAAGGAGCGGCTGACGCCATGGAAGGAAGTCTTCTAGTTCTTGGAGTGGATCCTTCCCCCGGAGGGAACCAGTGGCGATGGCCTCAGGAACCCCATTTCTAACCAAATGATCGATGTGACGCATGGCAGGAATGGGGCCCATCTGAAGGCTCCTCTGTCCCTACGGAGTTGTGAACCCAGAGGCGGATGATAGGGCTGCCAATGGAAGGTGGCACATGAGAGAGACTGAGGCAGAACACTGCTTGGGGAAAGCGGAGTATGAAATGAGGCCAACTAACCAGATGAGATGAGCATTAACGGAGCCAGGCATAAAGAACACTGGGCTCCCTGGCAGAGGAGTTCCAGGGGTCAGGCTGAGCCCACCAGGATGCACCAGCACTGCTCCTGGACCAGCCCCATGCGGATGTTGAATTAGAAGGAGCGGCTCATGCCGCTAGGAACCCACAGCCTCCTCAAGGACAGTATGGCGTTGACGCAATCCCCAGAGAAGAAGGAGCATCCCCAGTGCATCCACCAGGGAAGGTGTGCAGAGGACAGAATGCACAAGCCCAGCCAAGAGCGGAACAGGTGGAGAAGGGGGTGGTGGGCGGCAGAGGCAGAGGGGTGAGCTAATGTGCGGGAGCCTGGGGGATGATCAGAGGACCCACGCGTCCCCGGGAGCTGACACCCAGATTACAGAAGGCTGCGAACACCAGGCTGACCATATCTGCAGGTTACACAGCCTGCCTCTACCTTGTGCTCCTGGCTCAGAAACTGTACGTAACGAAATCAAATGAAAAGTATTGCCAAGAAAAATAACACTTCGTAGAAAATCTCCTACTCTTTTCATTAATTGATCAAGTATTAATTGAATGCCAGGCGCTTTTTTTAGACACTAGGGACGTACAGAAAACACAATACAGAGTGAGAAGAGTGCTCTGGAGTAGAGGGGAGAGAAAAACACTAACAAGGAGAATAAAGTATGTATTATGTTAGATGGTGACTCATGCTAAGAGAGAAAACCAGGGGTTCCTCAGGGTAAGCCTTTCGAATAAGGAAGTGAGGGGGCTTAGTGGTGGGGATCTCTGTAGGAAGGGCATTCCTGGAAAAGGGAATTGCACGTACAAAGGCCCTGGGGTGGGAGGACGGACGCCCAGTGGCTTCGGGGCACAGGAGACAGGGTGGCTGGGGCAGAAAGAGCAAGGGGCAGACAGCTAATGGGGAGAAAGTTGGAGGCCTGGAAACAGGCAGCTGAGACCCCAGACAGAGTCACCAGAATGTCATCAAACCCACAGGGAGAGAACCTGACTATCCATGACATCCATGGCATCATCATTAGATTGATCTCACAACCAAGAGGTCCATTCACAAATCCTGGTTCCTTCCACGCATCATGAAGGGATTTAGCACGTCCCAAATGTTACAAAGTCTTCTTCGGTCTTCCTGAGGCCTGAGGAAGCCGCCTTTAGAAAATCGGTGAAACAGGGAGCCCGTCCATCGTGCTGACGGTGAGACCCCAGGGTCCCAGGGAGCAGCCCTGTCCACTGGGCGCACTCGAGCCCACGTTAGGGAGGTGGTTTCTCTTAAGAACAGTCCCTGAGACAAAGCGTTTCCTCAGATGTCATGTGCCTGTAAATGACAGCGGGGGCCGGACACCCCCGTCTGGGTCCTGTGCCCGGACAGCCCCGAGATGATGAGGGGCACACTGGATGTGAGGACGTGTCTCATACGTGGGCCTGCAGGGATTTGCACGTGTGCTCTAAAGTGCCACGGTCTGGCGTGGGTCATAAAAAGGGCTGGGAAAGGTGGCCTCTGTCCTCACCATCACCATCAACAGGACAGACGGCCAGGTCCCAGGGGTGCCCTTACATTCCCTAAAACCCGCACCACGGCTTTCACCAAGAAAAGCTGAGTCTGGTTAACAAACACGAAGGTTTCTTAGAGAACGGACCCACCACAAGTGCATTTGGCAAAATGGCATCAACTTGAAGCCTGAAGTGAAGTAAATTGCAGTATTTACAAGCCAAGGCAAATGTTCAAAGGGAGGGCTCAAACACAAAGAACAGATGGCGGGGGGGGGGGGGGGGGGGTGGGCGAGAGTGGCTTTGCCAACACCCACAAAATGCAGATTTTTTAAGTGCCTTGAAGGCTGTTTATGGTCTGAGCACCCAGGAATCAGCCCCTCGGCTCCGGGCTCCGGGAAGCTGTCTTTGGGCGTCCACACTGCGTCCCGGACAGGACCGTGTGCAGACCCCTCCTCAGGAGATTTCCTTTTTCATGAAACATCACCTCTATCTTATAAATGCCAGTTAGATTCTTTCTGCTTTGTTTTACAACGTGAAAGTGGAGGCAACTGTTTGCAGCTGATGCTCAGCATCAAGAAAGTGGAAAAAGGGGCGCCTGGGTGGCTCAGTCGGTTAAACGGCTGCCTTCGGCTCAGGTCATGATCCCAGGGTCCTGGGATCGAGTCCCGCATTGGGCTCCCTGCTCCTTGGGAGCCTGCTTCTCCCTCTGCCTCTGTCTGCCGCTCTACCTACTTGTGCTCTCTATCTCTGTTAAATAAATAAAAATCTTAAAAAAAAAAAAAGTGGAAAAAAAGGGCCACTCCTGTCACACTGTTCGCTTCCAGGGATTATCCAAACCCTTAGTGATTGTGGACCTACAAACATGTCTTTAAAGGTCCCATTATAGGAGATACAGAAAGAGTACTGTATTTTTTTACCTTTTAGGAACACCTTTGCAAACATAACTTTAACCACTCCCTCCCCGTCCCATGCAGATTGTGTGGGGTGAGTGTGAGCACAGGTGGGAGTGTGCCCCTAGTAGAGGGAAGGGAAAGGGAAACACTGAATTGCTCAAGGTCGATCAGAGAGAAAATAAGGGGACAACGTGTATTTTCATTGAAATATTCTTATTAGATATTATTTCTCATCCCTTTAGATACTTTCTTATACTGGAATCATTTTTTTTTTTTTTTTTTTTGAGAAAGACAGTGGGCATGAGCAGGGGTTGGGGGGGTTGGAGAGAGATAGAGGAGGAGGGAGAGAGAGAATCCCAAGCAGGCTCCACACTGAGCATGGAGCCTAATATGGGGCTTGGTCTCACGACCCTGAGATCATGACCTGAACCAAAATCAAGAGTCTGATGCTTAACCGACTGAGCCACCCAGGAACCCCAATACTGGAATTATTTTTAAGGAAAAAAAAATCAAATTGCATGTACATTTTCACAATGAAAAATCACTCTACCACTACTTCTAAAGCCCAAATCCAGTTGCAGTACAATAAATGCTAAAAAATTTACCAAAATGTTAGTCATCTGAGGAGTTGGTTCATCTCTTCATCTCTCATCCAGACTCTTCATTTTCTTCAAGAATCTATTCTGGTGCATTCTCAAATAAGTGGTCTCAATAGATCAATATATGGATGGGGCAGACGGATGATGTTATTTGATTAAGTTTAGAAGTAAGCACTGTATCTTTGGAGACACATACCCTCACGTATAGGACAATATGCTCATGGGAAAGACAGTGATAATACACTTCCAGTTTTACCTTCACAGAGAAGAGACTTTCATGCACATAATCTCAGCATGCACACGCATGCACACACACACAAGAGATACACGCACCCACACATGCACACACACAAGCACACACATGCACACCCAGACCCACACACGTGCATACAGAGAGACACACGTGTGCATGCACACACACACACACAGATTCTACAGTTGATGTCTGCAGAAGGGATAACATTTTCCACCACACGGAGTCCTGGTTTAATTATCAAGTTGATAAATAACCTTGAGATTTCAAGGCCACACCAAAGAGTCACTTACCCTGGGAAAGGGCTGCTGAGATCCCTCCTGCGTTTGAGGTGGACAAACAGTTGATTCCAGGGAAGAGACTCTGGTCTGTAAAGAACATTAAATGTTTAATTCCAGTGAACAGTAAGCTCCAGTAAAGAGATGCCTCATTGTACAAAAGCATTTCACAAAAATAAAACACCTCTTATTTGGAGACGTTATTATGTATTTCAATATTTCTGGAATGAAAGACATACTTTTACATGTATATTTGGTAATTCAAATAACTTTCCCCACTCGAATAAATACAGTCCCTCTATCTGTCTAGATTCTCAACATATAACAATGCCTGCATATAAGGTGCCCAAAATGTACTATGATTTTGTATCATTTTTAGAGGAAGATTATTTTTGGTTCTTGAAAATGTCCTTTTATGGCAATATCAGTGATTGGCAAGATTTGTAAAACATAGCACTAAGTACCCAAAAGCTGTATTATTTATTGCTTCTCAAGATATCTAAATATGCTTTCAGCACAGCATTCTGTTCAAAATAAGAATGGGCAGACAGGTTGTCAAGAAAAATAACTTATAATTAGAAAATTTGAACTCATATTTTTTGCAATTTCAGATTCATTAAAAGTGAGTAAAGTCAAATTAGTCTATAGTTGATATAATGGTAATTATTTTACCTTTTCATTTTTGAAAGTTTGAAAAGTTTTATTATTCCCCATAAATCAATAACAAATATTGCTTCCATTTAGGTTTAAGTAACGTGAAGATTTCAACATTGAGCATCTACTAAAATGGAGTCTGTGATACATGGGTGGGCTGACCGTTCGCAGCTAAACTGTGAAGGCTTCAGTGCTGGGAGAGAGAAATACAAGGGAAGAACGGCCAGGTAATGGTCTTCCTAAAGAACATTCCCACTTTCCTGATGTATCCTTGATGTTTAGACACATGAATTCCTCCTCACCATGACCCTAGATGCAATGTTATCGTGACATATTTTTTCATCCATCTTACTGAAAACATTAGCAGATATCTCTCTGATGGTATGACAATTAAGGAACCCCTCCCAGACTTGAGGACCCTGTTGTTGAACAAAGTGCCATAAACTAAGCTTCTAGAATTAGAACTCGGTGTTGTCGTCTACGATACCCTGTGAATAGACAAGCTCATGTTGTCAGGGGCTAATCTACCACTCCCCCCACAAACAAAGGCAATTAAAGGAAAAAATTCAGCACTGGACATCCTTCAAAGTTAAAAAAAGTTTTATTGCCATGTTATTTTAATATATTTTAAATCTTAAAACTGGCTTGTCTTGGTTTGCCAACCAGAAGACTCACTTGATAGGAATTCACAGATTAACAAGATACCAGGGAAGACGATGGGTTGAGGACTAGTTCGTTAGGAGTAGAGGAACTTCTCTGGGAAGTCCCGTGACTGATCAGGCCCAACCTGGGCTCCCCCAGTACTGTCCCTCAGCAAGCACAGGCCCACCACAGTGTGTCCCTTGTTCGGAGTGGCTGGCCACATGGGGGGAGCATGTCTTCTTCAGACAACATGTTTGCTGCAAACACAAAACCTCAAGTCGGATTCAGGGCAGTATTTTCGGTCTCACATACTCTTATCCGTCCTGTGGCGCTGTCTCATGCACCACCCTTCCGGCACGCTTCTAAACACAATCGGGCAGTTAGATGAAAACACACGTACGGCTTTACCTAAATATGCATGTATATCTCCTCCTCTACTCACTCAACAAATGTTTGTTGAGCTCTTCCTCCTCATGGGCACTGCTCTGGGCACTGAGGACAGCAGGGGAAAAAAAAAATACAGAAATGCCTGCCCACAAGGAACTCGGCCAAGCAAAGGGAGGCAGACAGACAGACAAACACACAAACAAATGGGTCTCATAGGCTCTTCCAGCCTATGGAGCCTTTTGAGGGAGCTCGCAGGAGCAGGCTATGTCTCTGGGAGCCCAAGTCCTCCGTCTTTGTTCAGACATGTGGCTATTCCCAGGAGGAGGTGGGATGGGGTCCCCTCCCCTTGCACCTGGGCATCCCTATGACTTGACTCCCAGAATGTGATAGAGTGAAATTCTGGGACTTCCAACCCAGACTTTAAGAGGATGACCTGTTTCTGCTCCCTTTTTCTTAGAAGACAGTCACCATTCAGTAAACACAGCGGCCCTGCCAGAGAGAGAGAGAGAGAGACAGAGAGAGCAACAGAGACACAGAAACAGAGATAGACAGAGACAAAAATGGAGGTAAAGAGAGACAGAGAGCAAGAGGGAGAGAGAAAGAGAGAGATACAGAAAGAGAGAAAGGGAGAGAGAAAACAGAGAGAGAAAAGCAGAGAGAGACAGAGCAACAGAGACAGACACAGAAACAGAGATAGAAACAGAAATGGAGGTAAAGAGAGACAGAGCAAGAGGGAGAGAGAAAAAGACACAGGAAGACAGAGAGAGAGAGAGAGGAGGTCTACAGCCATCTTGGGTGGACGAGAGTCAGCCCAGCTCACAGCTCAATGCAGCCACATGACTGAGCCTTGGGGAGACCAACAAAAGAATCCTCCTCCCGGGCCCCAGTCAATCCTTACAACTAAAATGTTGTTTGGAGGCACTAAGCTTCGGGGCACTTGCGACACAGCAACAGATTACTAAACCCTGCACGGGATTAGTCTGGCTCCTGTGTTAACACTAGACTACGTGTGTGTGTGTGTGTGTGTGTGCTGGAAGTTAAGCGCAGTGATTTTGACAAGAGGTGAGCCCAGCTTGGACATGGGTCCCTTGTGGATGTGGTTAGAAGTGCTCAGACTCCGGACTATGCCTCCATTTACACAGAGCTCTGGTACAGGCAGAACTTACCTGCAGCTTCCTCTGGATATATCCTGAAGGGCCCCCACGATCATGTGTGAGCTGGGACAAAAGAGACAAGTCAAGGACAAAGTTGACTTCACACCCACCAGCTCGTTCTTCCCCAAAGCAGCACAAATATCATCCAAATTCTCCATCAGCAGGCGCACAATCTGAGTGGACAAGGCAGGTCCCCATCGGCAGGCGCACAATCTGAGCGGACAAGGCAGGTCCCCATCAGCAGGCGCACAATCTGAGTGGACAAGGCAGGTCCCCATCAGCAGGCGCACAATCTGAGCGGACAAGGCAGGTGTCCCCGAGACTGCCTGAACGGAGCTTCCCACACTCAGAAGTGTGCCAGTGCTGGGAGTGAAGAGAGCTATCAGGAGTCACCTGTCCCCTTCGGATGCACAGGGAATTAGGAGTTCTGTACAACCTCACATACAGGTGCGGAGACCATGAGGCAGCCGCAAGGAAAGCTCAGTACCAAAGATTGTTCCAGAGTCATCAAGCAGTTCTTGGAGGTGAACGCTGATGGTGGTTTCTTTCGGAGAGCTGAACAACAGATCCGGCCCTTCTCATTCCCAAGAAGCAGGCTCTATTTATTGGCTCACAAAGGGGACCCAACCCTGAACGGGAGAATTATGAGGGCAGCGTCACGGGGACTCCAACCGTGAACAGCCACCAACCCCAGTTCACGTCTCCCTGGACACTCCCCCAGGGAGAAGGGCCTTTGCCCACTCGGGCAGCCAGGTTACTGATGTCTACAAAGGTGGGCAGAGGACAGACTCCTCCAGCGGGTCATCACCGCTGCTCCAGACCCCTTCCTGGTTGCTCCCGACAGCTCTGGGCCCAGAACCACGGTGCTCATTTCCAGGGGACCCAGCTGGTGCTCCGCCTGCCTCACTGGGAAATTAGGTCCATGATTCCTTTGGTTTTCCCTAGGAGTCCTTCACTCAGTCAGGGAATCTTTTACCTGGCACCTACTCTATGCCCACAAACATGGTGCTTTGAAGACGGTCTTTATTCAGAGTCGGAAAACAGAGGTTCAAATCTGGCCCTTTGAAGACCAGCAGTTTGTAAATTCTCTTAGATGGCCCTGGGCCTCCCCGATCTCCGTTTTAGGAAATCTCTCTCTAACCAGCTCAACAAGAGGACACAGAGGCTCCTCGTTTCCTGTGTTTTGCTCTCCTCCCCTCCCCTTCCTTCCTCTCTGCCTAATTCCCCCCTCACCTGCACCAGTGACGTGTATCTGGAGCCTGACGAGCACCAGTTCTAAATCTCACGCGGCAGAGGGTGTGGAGATGCGTCCACGGGTCGCAGTTACCTGGACAGCACAACAAAGGTCTGGGCGCAACTACGAAGCCAACCACGTGCTCTGAAAGTTCGCTGGAATCCCCCCGTAGCACAGATACTCTGCACATCCCAGCTGTTCTTGCTAACACGGGATCGAAGAAGACTAAGTAGAAGACCTACTGAGCATGCAGGTTGCGTGCCATTCATCCCATGTTGAAGCACTCTACAACTCCTCCGGGAGCCAGTTTCAGTCCCTGCCCTGTGTTCCGTGGGCCTGGGCCCTGAATTCTAGGAAGTGCTAAACAGCTGATTCACACAAACGCTTGTTCACACCGCAAAGATAAGTCTCCTCCCCTGTCTTCCCCGAGCTGGGCCAGTAGGAGATGCACCTTAGCAGGTTCGCCCCTGGAGCCCTGGGGCTTAGATTCGGGGCTAACAAAGTCATGGTTAGCCTTAGCACAGAGTAAAACAGCTTAATCGCAAATGAATTTCTCACAAATATGTGCCACTGGTCACCAGGTGCCTGGCCAGGGCAAATCCACGCCCGCCAGGGAAGAAAGGGCTCAGAGCCCAGGCCACCTGACAGCTCGTTAGGGTGCAGGTGAGCTGCAGCAAGGCACAGGCAGGGCCCCCATCCCTAACCCCACCCTCCGGTCCCGGCTCAAAACAGAGAAGAATCACCTTCAGACACAAGCTCTGGGGTCATTACTTACGGTCAGGCAGTCCCTCCTTACAAGACCCAAGAGCGGAACAATTAAATCGGGACAGCAAAACCCCAAGCAGGGGCTACTGCCGAGGGCCCTTTTCCTCACACTCCAGCCGCATCAGAACCCCGGGGGCTTGTTAAAAACAGACTGCTGGGCCCCACCCCAGAGTTTCACGGGGAATTTGCATTTCTAAGAAGCTCCCAGTGGGTGCTGGGCTGGTCAGGGCCACTCTCACTGACTCAGTGTCTTGTAAGGGACTGGGTGTGTGGTGTCTGATAATGGGGCGGATCTGTCCCAACACATGTAAGAATGCCCAGATTTGCTAATACTCCCACGTCCGTGCATTATATCATCCCCTCGTCGAGCGAGCACGGCGCTCTGGTCCCGGGTGCAGTGTTAAGAGGCCAAGGAGCTGACAGAGAGGCTGATTTACAGCAACACTATGGACAAGCTTGTCCTAGACCTCCAGAGTGGCTCCCAAGCAGCGGAAAGCCAAGCTGCCCCATCTCCGAGAGGCAAGGTCTGTGATCATAACCATTCGGTAATAAAGAAAAATCAAGCGGTGATAATAAAATATAGTATTTGGCGATCAATGGCAAGTGAACTCCCGACATAGTTCAACCAGCAGCCCAACCTTTGACTTTGAAGGGGGCAGCTCCCACCGCAGCCGGACATTTATATTTTGTGGCCAATCAAATCCCAAGCCTACTCTGCTGAAAGCGCCACTGAGTTTCTGCGAGGTGACTCGTGGCATCTCAGATGGGACCTATGGCCACATGAGCCTGAGCTGCCCCCAAACCACGTGACCTGGCCTCAATATTTCGAGGACATTCTTTCCAGGATTTTTGAAGTTCAAGTAATTAAGGCCGAGTGGTTACATTTCACGTAGCTCCCACACCCGCGACCATAGTCACACGCCCTCTTGGATCACATTGCCGATAAAAACCACAACCCCGTGCCACATGGTTTTAGAAAGAAAACATGAAACTAGATAGGAAAAAACTGTAAATCTGGACACACTGGTTTCCACAGATATGTTCCATCCTTTTCTCCCACTTTAACTTTCTCCATCGTCTTTCCCGTAAAGCATGGCTTGTCTACACTTATTTGTCTTCTCTGTTGACAAATTGTTAGAGCAATCACCTTAAATTCATTTTGGATGTCATTTCAAGTGGCACTTTTCCTTCTCCTGTTAAAAACGGTCTTGCCTCATTTCAGTTTTATTTTTTTCTCGCCTTTCTGTGAACAATTCCTCCTTGGCCAGCTATTGAGTAACGATGTTGAGTCAAAGATATGTTTGCCCTAATGCAGGCAAACCAAACAGGAGCTCCATGGCCAACAGAGACCCAAGGGCCAGATAAAAGGCCAAGAGGCTTTCTCACAGCTAGGTGCGAGCTGCACCCACCGAGTTCCAAATTCACCTGAAGGGTCCTCCTGCAGAAAGGTTTCTGGTGAAAATACTTACATCTAGCAAAAAGCAATGATTAGGAAGGGACTTTGCAGACTTCAGAGTCATATTATAACATTTTTTTAATTGGACAGTTTAGAAAGACGTCATTTTATTCTCAGCATACATATAAATGTTGTGTTCTATGGCTTACAGTCTTGTTTTGTATTTAATGAAGACTTTGTTTTTAGAGCAGTTTTAGGTTCACAACAAAATTGAGAGGAAGGTACAGAGATTTCCCAGAGCCTCCCTCATAATCAACAACGCTCACCAAAGAGGTACATTTGTTACCGAGGACGAGCCTACATTGACACAAAATCCATAGCTTGCCTTGGCACCCTTGATGGTGCACATTCGATGGGTTAGACAAATGTGTAATAACATACAGTCAACAATATAATATCAAACAGAATAGTTTCACGGCCCTAAAACTCCTCTGTCCTCTGCCTATTTGCCCCTGTACCCCCATCCCCATCAACTACTGATCTTTTCACTGTCTCTATAGTTTTGCCTTTTCCAGAATGTCATATAGTTGGAATCATACAACACGTAGCCTTTACCGACTGACTTCTTTCACTTAATAATATGCATCTAAGGTTCCTCTGTGTCTTTCATGGCTTGATAGCGCATTTCTTTCTAGCATTTCCATTGCCTGAATGGACCACAGTTTATTTATCCATTCACCTACTAAAGGACATCTTGGTTGTTTCCAAGTTTAGGCAATTATGAATGAAGCTGCTATAAACATCTGTGTGCAGGCTTTTGTGGACATAAGTCTTAAACTCCTTTGGGTAAATAATGAGAAGCGTGATTGCTGGATCGTATGACAAGAGCATGTGTAGTTTTGTAAGAAACTGCCAAATTGTCTTGCACAGTGGCTGCACCATTTTGCTTTCCTACCAGCAGTGAATGAGACTTCTTGCTCCAAGTCCTTGTCAGCATTTAGTGCTGTCAGCATTCAGATTTTGGCCACTCTAATCAGTGTGTAGTGGTATCTCATTGTTTGAATTTGCATTTCCCTAATGCCATATGTTCCAGACCATCTTTTCATAGTTTATTTGCTATCTATATATCTTCTCTCTGGTGAGGGATCTCTTACAGTCTTTGGTCCATTTTTAAATTGGGTTGTTTTCTTATTGTTGAGTCTTATGAGTTCTTTGTATATTTGAGATTATAGTCCTTTATCAGATGTGTCTTTCACAAATACATTCTTTCCATCTTGTGGATTGTCTTCTAAATTCTCTTGGCATTGTCTTTTAGAGTAGAAGCCTTTTTTGTTTTGTTTTGTTTATTTGTTTTAAGAGAGAGAGAACACAAGTGGGGAAGGACAGAGGGAGAGACGGAGAGAGAATCTCAAGGAGGCTCCATGTGCATCACGGAGCCCAGTGCAGGGCTCCATCTCATGATCCTGAGATCATGACCTGAGCCAAAATCAAGAGTCGGATGCTTAACTGACTGACCCACCTTGGTGCCCCATAGAATAGAAGTTTTTAATTTTAATAAAGACCAGCTTTCAATTAGTTCTTTAGTGGACAATGCCTTTGGTATTGTACCTAAAATGTCATCACCATGCCAGAGCATATAGGTTTACTCCTCTGTTTTCTTCTAGGAGTTTTACAGTTTTGCATTTAGATTTAAGTACATAATGCATCTGAGTTAACTTTTATGAAGGATGTAAGGTCTGTGTCTAGATTCATTTTTTGCATGCAAATCTCCTATTGTTCCAGCACCACTTGTTGCAAAGACTATCTTTGCTCTATTGTATTGCTTTTGCTCCAGTTGACTAATTTCTGCCGGTCTATTTCTGGGCTCTCTACTCTGTTCCACTGATCGATTTATCTGTTCTTTCTCCACTACCTCACTGTCTTCATTACTGTAGCTTTATAGTAAGTATTGATGTAGGGTAGTGTCAGTCTTCCAAGTTTGTTCTTCTCCTTCAATATTGTATTGACTATTCTGGGTCTTCTGCTTTCTATATAAACTTTAGAAACAGTTTGTTAATATTGAAAAAATATTTGCTGGGATTTTGATTGGATTGCACCGAATCTATAGATCAATGGGAAGAACTAATATCTTGACACCACTGAGTCTTCCTATCCATGAACATGAAATCTTTCTCCATTTATTTAGTTCTTTTGTTTTTGTTTGTCAGAACTTGGTAGTTTTCCTCATATAGAACTTGTCCATATTTTGTTAGAGTTATACCTAACTCTAATACCTAAGTATTTCTTTATTTCTTTTTTGGGGGGGGGAGGGGTGCAGGGATGCTAATGTAAAGGTATTGTGTTTTTAATATCAAATTTCACTTGTTCATTGCTAGCCTATGGTAAAACAACTTACTTTTGTGTATTAGCCCTGTATCCTACAATTACACTATAATTACTGATTAGTTCCAGGAGTTTTTTTGTCCATTCTTTCAATTTTCTACATAGATAATCATGTCGTCTGTGAGCAAAGATAGTTTTAAGTCTTTCTTGTCAATCTGTATACTTTTTATTTCCTTTTCTTATCTAATTGCAAAAATAGGGACTTCCAGTACAATGTTGAAAAGTAATGATAGGAAGGGACACTTGCCTTGTACTTGATCTTAGTGAGAAAGCCTTGAATTTCTCACCATTAAGTGTGATCTTAACGTATGTTTTTGCAGATATTTATCATTTTGAGGAAATTCCCTTCTATTTCTAGTTTACTGAGAGGGTTTTTTTTTTTTTTATCATGAATGAGTGTTGGATTTTGTCAAATGTTTTTTTCTGCATCTACTGATATGATCGTGTGATTTTTCTTTTTCAGTCTGTTTATGTACTGAATTACATCAATTGATTTTCAAACGTTGAACCAGCCTTACATACCTGGGATAGAGCCCAACGGATTATAGTATATAATTATTTTTATGTTTGGGGGGTTTGATTTGCTACTGTTTTGTTGAGAATTTTTGCATTTATGTTCAAGAGAGATATTGGTCTGTAGTTGTCTTTTCTTTTTTTTTTTATTTTAAAGATTTTATTTATTTATTTGACAGAGAGAGACACAGCGAGAGAGGGAACACAAGCAGGGGGAGTGGGAAAGGGAGAAGCAGGCTCCCCGCGGAGCAGGGAGCCCGATGCGGGACTCGATCCCAGGACCCCGGGACCATGACCTGAGCCGAAGGCAGTCGCTCAGCCAACTGAGCCACCCAGGCGCCCTGTAGTTGTCTTTTCTTGTGATTTATATCACTTTACTAATAAACATTACTAATGAAATTGGTGGACTAATGTTCACTGGTCACAAGGAAAGGCTTCTCTGTACATTTGTTGCATGTTCTCTGATAACTTTGTGCTCTACCCTAGATAGGTATGGCTAGGTTAACAGGCTTTGGAGACAGGCTGGATTTGGATTCTGGGTTCATGTCATGCTAACTGGGTACCCTGTGTGAGTGAGTTGTCAATTGTCTTAAGTTTCCATTTCCTCATCTGCAAAATGGATTTACTAAAAAATAGTACACCATCTCACAGGGTTTGTATGAAGATTAATTAGTATAATCCAGGTACAATGCTTGAAATATCATATTAAATACATAGTGTTATTATTTTTGTTATTTGCCTAGCTACATCTTATTGCTTTAATATGAGCTAAACCCCAGGGCACCTGGGTGGCTCAGTCAGTTGAGCGTCTGAGTCTTGGTTTCAGCTCAGGTCATGATCTCAGGGTCATGAGATCAAGACCCACATCATGCTCTGTGCTCAGAGAGATTCTCTCTCTCCCTTTCCCCCTGCCCCTCCCCCTACTCATACTTGCTCTCTCTCTCTCTCAAATAAATAAACCTTTAAAAAAATATGAGCTTAAAACTCTTTTTTCCTTATTATAATATTTTATGTAGGACATTTTTAATTTTTAGTCTATTCTCTGGAGCCTTTTCCCATGGCACTGTGATATTGCAGATTGATGCCTGCAAAATAAGTCTTACTTAAATTTAGTGGTGATTATTTTTCACATATAAAGTAATGTTAACATCTCCTAAAAAGCTGTAAAATGGAAAACTGTAATCATTACACATTAATAAGCCTTGCATGTGTAGTGTGGCTTTGGGTTTATTAACTAGCATCTATACTCAGTCTTCTGAATAGGAGTTTTCTATATAGTACGTTTGTTTTTCACACCGTGTGTTATTTTTCTAGTTGTTTTTTCTCTGTATCTAGATGATTATACACTTTGAATCAGGAGAAACGTTAGCATCTGCCTAGGTGAACCTCTCTTTCAAAACCAAAATCCCTGGTGTAGGGTACGGGGAGGGAGGTAGAACGGGGGAAAGGTGGATGGTGGTGTCCAGTTTAGGCTTACACACTTCCAAGCTACCCAAAGTTAGCCTGGAGCAAGGGTACACCTTTAGTCATTAAAAAAATTCCATCTCATATTGAACTGAAATTTACTTCTTTGTAATTCCTTCCCTTTGGTCTTAGTCTGGTCTCTGAAGCTACTTAGGAAAAATATGAAATACATCTGAAATATGCTTTTTGGAATATGAAATAATATGAAACCCACATGAGAACCCCAAGTGTCTGAGGACCCTTACGCTCCCCTTACACGTGTCTTTGGGCTCAGTAAACCTGTTTGAGTCCTTCCTGTGCGGAAGTTTCTAGAGCTTTACTATGCAGTCCAGCTTTCTTTTGAAAAGGGGACAATATTTTCATTCTTGCCTTGAAACGTGCATGAAATCCTGTAAGTTGTCTACCAAATCTCCCCCACTGCAGCAGAACCGCTTCTATACACATGCATGGATGTGGGGACAAAGAAAGTGTTTTCAGTGCTTCTCTGAATAGAGGGGGTGACCAGAAATCATTTACATCAAAGACAGTTGTAATTTCTTCAACTTCTCCAGAGACAATGAAGTCTTACTTTCAGGCAGATAGTGATTTTTTTTTTCAAAAGCTCCACATTTCTAACATTATTAGAGAAAACCACCTTTCCTAGTTTAATGTGTAAGACTTATCTTGATTGAAAGGTGTTAAATGGAACTTCAGAGTCTGGAGTCATGAGACCATGTTGTCTTTCCTGCAGCGAATGCCATACATAAGACAAACATTTGCTGCAAATTAAACTTTCAGCCATCTCCAACCATCTGACAAAGGGGCCCCAAAAATGCTGCCCTGTCTAGCAGACTGAGAGTGATGTGCTCTTGCACCCGGGTGTGAAGGGCCAGCCCTCCTCAGCTCATCTAAGAGGGCACAGTAAACCGTATGCTGGCCCAGGCCCCACCGGGCGAACAGAACAAACCCCAAACACCTGCCCGATGGCTGGGGCTATCATCTGTGCCCCAACGATTTGCTGGTGAAGGAAAAGTTCAAGACACAACCTACCAGGTGGTTCAGGAAAAAAAAATGATAAAACCATTCACAATAAAATAAAACATGCTTTACACAGCATACATTCTTCATTTTTATCTTTAAAAGGAATTATGCCAGGCACTTTCACATCAGGTTCCGCTCACAAAATAGGCATTATCATCACCATTTCTAGATGAACTCAGGGGGCCTGACGACCTGCTCAGACCACTTTAAAAGGAAAAAAATAAGGAGATGGACCCAGATTTTCTTACTCCAAGACAGAGCCTTCCCTTCACTGCTGCCACCAGGTGCAAATATGCAAAAAAAAAAAAAAAAAATCCAACACTATGAACCAAGGCAAAAAATTTCTTTTAGGTTTGAAATCTAACCAGCAAAGTGCAGGTACAAAAATGCACTTCATAATACTCTACATTCTATCCTAGATCCTTCAGTCTTTAATTTCCAAATCGTGCCATCTAGCTTTGGAATAACAGGCAAAACACCACTCTGAGAAGGAATGGAGATGCACAGAATAGCGAAGGAAGAACAATGGAAGCACAGCACCTGTCAGAAGAAAAGCATCCCCAAATCCCCGACCCCTGCGACCAGGGAGCAACTTCAAGAGCCACACCAGTTAAAACCAGCTCAGGAAACCAGACACACACCGGGACAAGCACTCTCCTTTCTGGAAGAGCAAACCCTTTCAGACCGTACTAAACCTGCTGTGTATAGAGAAACTCCTTGGTTCATTTTCACCCTGATTTTATATAATAAGGAACAAGCCTAAGTTATTTTCTTCCTCTCCAAACCTGTATTTCTACTTGGTAATTTTGCTACTCTCCCTGTGCCATTTTTTAGTAGGTTTTATCTCCCCAGATACACTCTCAGAAGCAGGGACCATGACTGTCCTCTTTTAGATCACCCAAATAAAAACTATTTGGATGATGCAAAGCATTACTTTGCATAAAATAAGAATTTAAAAATGTTTATTACACTCACCATTTTGCTGAAATGAATATTTTAATTCTAAGTAACTAAAAATCATGGAACATAGTAGACACACAAAAAATATTCCCTAGTGGAATTAAAATAGAGTGTTAGAAAACACATTTTTCATCAGTATGAGAAATCTCACCTCTTCCCTCTGACTGGCGTTGACCATCCGCCTGGTTTTTCTTGTCTTAGGAGCAGCCCAGGGTCTAGGAGTAGACACTGGAAAGAAATGTTTTAAAGTTATCAAGGACGCATCTGCTCACGTAGTAACACAGTGTAGCATCTGATATTATACATTTTCACTACCCTATAAATAGAAAGGAATATGAATTCACATTGAGATACTTTGCTTAATATTTAAGATCAACTTTAATATTTGAACAATAAATGCATTCTTTTGCCACAAAACTGGAAATTCACAGCCCTTTCTTTCAAAATTTATTCTGGGATTTCAATATTTAATAATATTATTTACATACATGAATGCTGGTAGATCTTTTATTTATCACTGTATAAAAATCAAAAATTATATCAATATGTTTCAATTCTTAAAATTCCAAGAAAAACTAAACTTATTTTGGTAGAGACAAAAAGCACATTTTATATGTAGCATTTAAATATTCCAAAATTATAGTAAACAGCATTTGTATTTGGAACAAGGTCCTGTGTTTTCTAGAAAATGTTACTATTTTTCTTTTGTGAATGTTTATGAACAGGCTGCTAACTTGGGTGCTCAGACTCCTTGGCATCACATACGGAGGTCTGGTCTCATGATTGCAACAGCTCCATGATGACCAGATGGATGATGGAGATTTCCAGTGGTTGGGGCGTCTCCTCACACTGATCTATTAGAAAACATAGAACACTTGCTAATGGTGGAAAGAAATGTTTTGACAACAGATACTCTTCCGAGCCCATCACAGAACCTCCCTATGTCACCTGCACACCTATGTGCTCTCAAGAGTGAGAACCATTGTTTGGGGGGTTTTTTGTGCCTTCTATCTCTAATTTAAACCTTCATTCAGATGTCCCAGTTTCTGTGTCCACCCAAAAAGATCCACAGTCTGTGTGTTCCCAGGATTTAAGTCTCGTTTACATATATAAATGGGCACGTCAGAGTGAACAGCCGTAAGCCATTCATTCCGCAATGACCAGATCCAAACTGTCCCTCCTTTGTCCCTCCTTGCTTCCTTTCACTGGAGAGCACTGGCCCCTCGCCCTGAATTCCCAGGTGGAGGAGCTTTCTCAGCAGGCTTCCCACACCACCCCGCCCTTCGCCCTTTGGGAGCTCTGCGTGCACATGAAAAAGCGACAGGCCCTTTTGCTCCGACACACCTCACCACAATTTGCCCTTGAATTTTTCTGTTCTAAAAAACAAAAAGTTAATTTACTAAGAATGTTTAAATCTTCTCTGGAAGTCAACTTTTTGTGTTAATGGATTAAGTGCCCAAATTTTGGAAGAAATCTGCAAGTTTGAGCAAAACGTCTTTAGACATTTTTATGGAAACAGCACGTAACAATATTTGGGGTAATGTGAAAGATGACATTGTCTATAAAACCCAGAACATAGGTTGGAAAAGAGAGTCTAGACTATTCATGCAAGATATTAACATGAATGCGTAGCTAATAAAAGATGATGCTCACCTAAACATACTTTGCCTTAGCATTTTGCCCAAAGGAAAAGCTGTGACTATCAGCCGGTCATGTTCACTGTCCGGCATGGCCTACACCCGTACCTGGCATGGGGAACATCTAATAAGTACTTATGCGAGAATCTGAGGGCGCTTCGCTCACCCTGAAGCGCTACAGACCTCAGAGAAGGTGGGATCCGTCTCCCAACCCTGTGAAGCTCTTCCATGGGCTACTCGATCCAACGCATTCATCTGAAAGCATCGCAAGCCACCCAGTGGTGTTGGTTAGAGTTTCATTCACATTCCCACCACTGGCGTCTCCTACATGCTTAACAGCTACGCTTCCATGAGTGTCTATGATACCATTGGGATGAAACCCACCGTGGGATATGAGCGGTGTTATAGGACTCGACAAAGTAAATTTAACTTACAAAATTTCTTGCAGCCCTACTTTAAAATCTCATGTTCTCAAACCTCAAACAGTTTTTGGGAACACTAGATTTTCATCCCTCAGCTATTTATCGCATGTCTTTGTGCACAGTACTTAGCAAGGAGGAAATGCCCAACATTTATTGAAATGAATTTCTTCACTCTGGTGAGAGAGGCAGCCCAGGTACTGAGGGAAAAAGTGTGCAGTTTTTTCTCACCCTGAGATTTGGATCTCGATTATTGCTGTCACGGACGTTAGTTCACTAAAGGAAATATCAACCATATAAGCACGATTTTACAGCGCCTATTTATTTAAAAAATGATATTGAAATCCACATAGTTTCAAAAAGACACTTCGAAAATCTGGTAAAAACACCCCACCTGTAACGTTAAACTAACTGGAAGGCAGATTATATCACTACTTCCCAGGACTCAGTTAAAAAGTGAAAACACTTATCAAAATCCAGAAGAAACAAATAGGAAAAATACAAACTTTTAAATTTTATATTCTGGAGCTTTTGTTGGATTTCTGTTCCACAAGCTTCTTCCTGAATCAGCTTCCAAAACTCTTCAAAGGGGCTCACGTTCTTCAAGGGTCCACATTTGGCCAACTCCCTTGGCAACTCTGTAATCTTATTTTCAGAGAGAACAATAATTGTATTTCAATGATATTTTAGTGACAAATTATAAGTCAGCAGATAATTAGGAATTTAAAATCCCATTTCTAAGCATCGAGAGTATAACATGTGGATACCTTACAGGTATCTGATTAGGAAAGTGTTATTTTCAACAGTAATTGACCCCAAAAGAGTAATACCTTTGAAAGTCTCTGTCCTTAAATTCCAGGGGTTCATTTGTATTTAAAAATTAAAGGGAACAATTTGAAGGGACGTAAACTGGACTTTTTTTTTTTTTTTCTTTCTCCTCTTTCTCCTCTTCCTTCTATCCTCAATAGTAGTAGCTAGGAGTTAATGTAAGGGCACTTCTTTGGAAGATGCTGGTGGAGCATAGGAGAGCATTAGGGACAAAAAGGAAAAAGAGGGGAAGAGTAGCCTTGAGGACAGTGAGAGGAAGTAGATAAAGACAACTGTCTTTTACAATTCAATTTCTAATTTTATCTCCCTTTGACGGGGAGACTTTAGAATTACCATACACTATAAACCAATTGTCACTCAGGAATATGCTGCTATGGTAATAAATGATGGCATCAGGATTCTCACCTCTTCTAAATATTATTTCATCTCTTAGAAACTGGAAGGACATGTCACACTAATAAGGCATGTTTTAGGAAGTATAACTAGATATATGGAGCAGCTTCTTTAAAAGAAGGAGGACAGCCCAGAAAAACTAATTAGGGATTTTTAACTCGGGGGTGGAATTTCCCGTGTTCAGTTCAAGGAGAATAAAATCAGGGAACAAAGGGCTCTAAAAAGATTGGGGTTTTTTGGGTTTTTTTTTTTTGATGATGATGATGCAAATGTAACTGACGTCAGCACAAATCAGACAATGTTTTCTCTCAATTTCTGAAGCAATTCCTCGCTATGTGAGGTCGTTCTCGGTGGCGGCTGCGGTGGCCCCCCCAGGTAGGTTCCCTCCCTCCCTGGGCAGGAAGAACTTGCATCCACCACGGCTGTGCCTGGGGCTGTGCTCAGAACAGAATGGCGCCGAAATGAAAGGGACGCCTGTCGTGTGGTGCCAGTCTTCAGGAGCGCCTGCGAGGGTACGGAAAGCAGACCCTCAGCAAGGGTAGGGGCTTGGGGGGCATGATGTTGGGGTGTCCCCTCCTGTCCGGCTTTCCGCGTTTCACACGTCCCTGAGGGGCTGACAGGGTCTGGCATCGCTCCCACCTACCCAGGGCAGAGGCGCTGCGGGGTCCGGGCCCCCCAATTCCTGGGTCGTTACGACGATGACGCATGTTTGAGAGGCGACACGCAGAACAGTGCGGCAGCGGGAATGCCCGTGCAGGGCTTCCCGGCCCGCGCCCAGCTTGCCCTAAGTCCTACCGGGGAAGCACCAGAGCGCGGGGTACGGGCGCGCGGGGGGCGCTCGGGGAGTGGGCAGGGCGCACGCGCGTGTGATGGGTGCACGGCCCGGCGCGATGCGCGGCGTGGGCGCTGCGGGTGGTGCGGGGCGCAGTGGCGCCGCGTGGGGGGCACGCGGGGGTGCGGTGCACTGCGCGTATTTGTGGTGCGTGGATGCAGGGCGGGGCGGGGCGCGGAGGGCTTGGTGCAGGCGGGGAAGCGCTGCGGGGCTGGCGCTGCGTGGGGTGCCTCGGGGAGCGGTGCAGGGGGGCGGCAGGGCGCCAGGCGGCGCTGAGTGGCGTGCATGCGGGGGGAGGTGAGGTGGGCTTGTCTGAGGTGCGTGGGGTGCCTGGGGGGGCGGTGCAGGGGGGCGGCTGTGCGCGGGGTGGCGCCGCGTGGGGTGCATGGGGGCGCTGAGGTGGGGGTGCACGCGGGGGTGCGGTGAGATGCGGGTATTTGTGGTGCGTGGATGCAGGGCCGGGCAGGGCGCGGAGGGCTTGGTGCAGGCGGGGAAGCGCTGCGGGGCTGGCGCTGCGTGGGGTGCCTGGGGGGGCGGTGCAGGGGGGCGGCTGTGCGCGGGGTGGCGCCGCGTGGGGTGCATGGGAGCGCTGAGGTGGGGGTGCACGCGGGCGCCTGGCGGGGCGCGCGGGGTGGGGGGTCGCGGGGGCGCCTGTTCACCCCCAGGAGCAAGCTGCAGGGCAGGAAAGAAAAGTTGCGGTCAGCCTGTGGTTCAGTAGCGGGGAGACAAAGGCGACAACAAATGACAAGTAAACATCCAGCCACAGGAAGCCATTAAGGAGAGTGGGCGCTAATGAGCGCGCAGCGGGGACCCGCCGAGGAAACGCCGCGGGCCCCCGACCCGCCCGGAGCCCCGCTGGCAGGCCGTAAACCTGCTGTGCTCTTCTGTCCCCTTTCCAGTTGTGCCATTAGGAGCCGCAATTACTGGCATCCCAATAAGAAGACTCCAGGGGTAAAAAGAGAACGTTGGGATTCTGTGATTTCGCACATCCTCACGTCTTCCCTTAACTAGCCGCGTGTGAGCTCGGAGATGCGAGTACCAAGCCTCTTCCCAAGGAGTCTTGTGCAACAGTTTCTCGTAAAAATCAACTCTAATGAATAACCAGACGTTCCTTTGTGCTCCCTTAAATTTTAACTATTAAGAAATTTGTTTTCAAGTAGCGGTGGTTTGTCAAGCAAGGGTTCCCGGCCTCGCTGCGACTTGGTGTCTGGACTATTTAAGATACTTACAGCTGGCTTTCCTTTGGGGAGAAACAGCTCCTTCTCCGGACGGCTGGATCGAGATTTCACAAACACCCTGGGGCAGGTGGTGCGGTCCGCGCGCGGTCCCGGAACACCCTCGGCGGACGCCCGGCCCGCGGCCACCCCCTCGGTCGAGGCCCCGGCGGCAGCGACAGCCAGAGGCCCTCCCGGCCAACCCGGTGAAGCCCGGCCGCGGCCACTCGGGCCCGGCGAATCCACAGGTACCAGACCACCCACAGAGAGAGATGGGCTTAGAAATAACGTAAGGGAGCCAAGCAAAGGCGCTTCCAACAGAATCGTGCCTTTTAAACTTGTTTACACTTAAACATTTGAGAAAGGGAGTGGGAAAGCGGTTTAGGGTAAATTTCATTTCAGTAAGCCTATTTTAGATGCTTGAGCGAACAAGTATTGCTAAGCATTACCCAAGACTTGGAAATTGTTTCTTTATGATTTCTTTATATGCGGTGTTCCCTTTCGGAGAAAAAGAGAATATATCTGATCATAACATATCTTTACAGATAACACATGACAGTGTAAACACTGATGAAGTTTAAGGAGACAAGCAAATCACTTAAATAATCCCAAAAGGAACTCTAGTGCGCCGTGGCATCTCCCCACTGAGGCGGTCCTGTCTTCTACTTTGTGCCTTGCCATCTCTGTGACTTTCTTTCTTGGTGAAAATTCAAATATATTCTCATTGTTATATTTCTTGTGTTGTGCCCTGAATATCAAGTTAGAATAGCTTGATTAAGCTTTAATAATGGTATCACCCTATCCCATTGATTCTAACTGAGCTAGGAACACTTGAATTCAGAATAGAATATATGTGTTCTATATGTATGTATATATTCTATTCATTATTTTTAGTTTTGAACCAACATTTCTGATCCTGACACTACAACATCTCCATAAAATGAGTTGGATTTGATGGCACCTTCAGTCCCTTCTGAATCTAAAATTTTAAATCTCTTCATAATTTTTAAAAAAATATCATGTTAATATATGTCCATGTTTTTTTAAAATCACGTTGTTCAGAAGGGTTTAAAATAAAAACAACTAACTTCTGTTTCAGCCTACTCCACCCAAGCCAGCTTCCCAGAAATTTCAACTTGACCCACTTCCGTTAGTAATTATGTTTGTATAAGCCTAGTCACAAATAGAATAACCACCACCCTGGAAAAAGATTTGCAGCCTTCTGCTCTCTCTCTCTCTTTTTCTTTAGATGTATAGAAAGTGTGTTTACTGTTCTCCTTTCCCTTTCACTGTGAGGGAGTCACACCTCTCAGAAGAATGGAGGCATCCAGGGAGAATTTTCCTTATGCAAACCTTGAGTCTCCTAGAAGATTTACCTTTTTCTTGAGTCGTAGCTCCCTTGCATTGATTTCCCAGAATGTGCAGCACCAGACCCACAGGGGTCTCCCCAAGAACCCTAACTTTACACCTTACTATTTTTCTAGTGCTCACAGTTGACTGAGACGCAGCTTCAAGTCAAGGAACCATAGTGGCAATGAGAATCTAATTGCTGTGGGCAATTGTAAACTTCAGTAGTCATGAATTGTAGTATCTACACACCAGGTACACCAGATTTGTTCATCAAAATTAGGCCCTTTCTTTCAAATCAATATTTTGGGGGACTATTTCCCCTATGAAAACAGAAATCTATAAATATAAAATTGTCTTAGAGATATTTTTAGACCATGAAAAGTTATCCAAGATTGCTTTGGCTATTTGGGGTCTTTTGTAGTTCCATACACATTTTAGGATTGTTCTATTTCTGCAAAAAAATGTCTCTGGAATTTTGATAGAGACTGCATTGAATCTGTAGATTGCTTTGGGTTATGTGGACATTTTAGCAATATTCTTACAATCCATGAGCATGGAATAGCTTCCCATTTATTTGTGTCTTCTTCAGTTTCTTTCATTAATGCCTCATAGTTTTCAATATACATGTCTTTCACCACCTTAGTTAAATTTATTACTAAGTTTTTTATCCTTTTTGATGAAATTGGAAATGAGATTATTTTCTTAATTTCTCTGAGAACTCGTTATTAGTGTATAGGAATGCAACAGATTTTTGTGCATTGATTTTGTCTCCTGCAACTTTACTGAATTCTTTTATTAGTCTTAAAAGTCTTTTGGTGGAGTTTTTAGGTTTTCTATATATAATATTATGCCATCTCCAAATAGTGACAGTTTTATTTCCTCCTTTCCAATTTGGATGCCTCTTATTTCTTTTTCTTGCCTCATTGCTCTGTCTAGGACTTCCAATATGGTGTTGAATAAAAATGGCAAGAGTTGGGGGCACCTGGGTGGCTCAGTTGGTTAAGCAACTGCCTTCGGCTCAGGTCATG